GTCCCCCTGCTGCCCTCTTCTGTCCCCTCCGCCGTCCCCCTGCTGCCCCTCAGCTGCCTCTCTGCTGTCCCCTCTGCTGCCCCCCTGCTGTCCCCAGGCTGCCCCTCCGCCGTCCCCCGACTGTCCTACTGAAGTCCATCAAGTCTCAGAAGGGTGGAGGACGGTCACCTTTCTCTAGCATGATAGGCTGAGTCAGAGGGGGATGGCTCAGAAGTGGTCACTCCAGGCTGCACAGGGACTGCACTGGGAGGGTAGCCCACCGGCCAGAGTCGACGAGCAGGACCACAGGCATCCATCCTGTCCAGCACCCAGCACCTGGCCAAGGCGGCGGGGGAAGGAGAGGACGGTGTTCCCCCGGGGCGGTCACAGCAGCCCCCAGCAAGAGGGCCGGAGGGCAGGGCTGGGAGCAGCAGCTTGTCCCTTCCTGGGGCATGAAGCGATGTCAGCAGCGGGATCTTGGGAGTGGACGCAGCAGAGAATCCAGAGTCAGAAGGCGGGAGAAGGAGCGGCTCTGTCTACGGCTGGGCGTGCACCCGTCCCAGGCCGGCCCGTAGTCCCCCAGGTGGCACACTGTGGCAGAATCCGGCGGGGAGGGCCGAGCAGCGCCCGCGTGTCCCGCCCGGTGCAGAGTCTGCAGGCCACAGGCCTCACCGTCTGCGCCGCATCCCACGTGTCTTGTCTCTGAAGAGGCGGCCTGTGAGTTAGCGCTGTGGATCTGCCCCACGGACCGAGCCGATGCAGGAGGGTGAGACCACAACTGCGACCAGCCCCCGTCACCAGGCTCACCCCAGGAAGGCCCCGTGAGAAGGCCCCGAGGCCCGTGGCTTGGTGGCGTGCGTGGCCCAGAAGCAGGGGGTCCGAGGGACGATGCTGGTCACCAGCAGCCCCGCCTCCCCACCGACGCTGAGGATGGTGGCCAGCTCAGGTCTCGGAAGCACTCCCTCAGGTGCAACACGAGGGAGGAGCCTCTGGGGAAGAGCAGGGACGAGCAGGGACCGAATGTGGCAGGAGAGTCACCCTGGGCAGGAGGGCCAGGCCCCAGCCCTGGCAGAGACGGCGACAAGTGCCTTGGTGATCGCCACACGGAGCAAGAAAGCAGGGTGCTGGGGGCACAGGGCCGGGGGGAGGCTCAGGGCTCAGTGGGCGGAAACGAGACACGCGGGGCCTGGGGGAGAGGCATGGACAGAGCCCTTACTGGGGGCTCTGAGCCGGCCACCGTGACTTGTGGGCCTCTAAACGATGCACATGTGCACTCTCTGTGACCCAGGACACCTCTCGGCCCCAGTCACCGCCCCCTGGGTTTAAGCACCGACCAGACCTCCCCTGGCGCTCCGCTGGTGGGTGGGGGTGTCCCAGGCCGGCACTGGGCAGAAAGGGGGACAGACTGGCCTCACAGCCCGGGTCTGATGGAGGACTTCCTGAACACTTTGTCCCCCCCTCCCCGGTACCATCCGTGCCCCGCTTGCCAGGGACCGAGCCACGTCCACAGTGGCCTTCGGTGGCCTCACCACAGCTCTGCATGCCTCATTTCCACGGGAACCACGCAGAAGGCTGCCCTCCACGCCTGGGTCTCACGGGATCGCCGGGAGCTTCAGGAGCAAGCTGTGCACGAGCTGGAAAGCAGATGCCGGAGTCCTGGAGGTGCCTGGGCCATCGCTGGACCACCGCACCCCTGCCCCCCACAGGCCACGGCCCTGCCCTCAGAGGTAGGAGAACATGGGTGGTGGAACGGTTCCTTCCACGTCGCAGCCTGCAGACCCTCGGCTGGTGCAGAGGGTTTGCCGGGCGGGTGCTCTGTAATGCAGAAGGCACCCCAGCGGAACCGAGCCCCCCTACACGGCGGGGCCAACACCGTGGGTGCTGGGGCTGAGCAGACTCCGGGGCTCCCACCCACTTGCCCCTTTCTTGTCAGGACCCTGAGCCAACCCAAGAAAGCGCATCCAGAAACAGGGAGGTGGGGAGGGCAGCCGCCGCCGGGGGGCTCCCCCAGGACTGGCAGTCACATCAGCCCAGGACTGCTTGGCCCGGCAGGTGCGCAGGCCCCTCTCACAGGGAGGAAGAGGGGCGATGGTTATGCTGGAGGCCAGGCTGGTGGAGAGAGAGGCCTGGTGCCTTGCCAGCTTCCTCACTGCCCTGGGCGGAGAACCCCCACGTATCTGCCCACCGACGCTGCCGACACAGCAATCCCACCCTAAACCCGTAGACACCTTCCTTCTCTCCAGGTGGACAGTCCACACCCACTGCTCTCTCCTCGAACCCCGCCCGCAGGTGTCCAGCCCTCGTCCGTCTGTGGGACCGCACCAGGACGCTAAGACGCGCACACGCAGCGTGACCGCCACGGAGCAGCTTTCTCCAGCTGAGCAGACGGCGTCACGACCTACCCACTGGCTCAGGCCACACTGCCCCCCACCCGGCTGCCTCCAGCAAGGCCACCAGCAAGCCAAGCCAGAAATGCCTTGCAAACCAGGCACTCCCGTACTTCTCTCTGCCCACAGTGCCCTCCCCAACCGGGGCCACGGCAACAGCATCTGGAGCTTCCCTGCTGCCACAGAACGTCCACGGGCCCCACAGTGCCACCCCACAGACAACACGGTCTCGTACAAACCAAACTCAGATCCCAGTTATTCCCCAGATGAACACCTTCCGACAACTTCCCACTGTGCTTACACATAAAACCCAAAGTCGCCACTTGGACTCCCCAAGGCCACCGTGGTCTGACCCTCCCTCCACAGCCGTCCCCTGTGCCTGCCCTGCCCTGCCCCGGCTGTGCCACTCAGGGGCAAATGTAGGTGCTCCCTGTCTGGAATGTTCTGGAATGTTCTTCCCCTGCTCTTCACAGGGTTGACTCTGACCTATCATCCAGACCTCAGCAGAGATAACCTCTTCCCACAAAGACGCTGCCCTAAGAGTCGTCTGGAGAAGTGACGACCCCCCCCCATCACATCACCGTATCTTAATTCCGTCTGGTACTTGCTGTCTGGCGTTTTCTTACTTATTTACTGGTTTACTGTGTGTCTCTTCCCACGGGAACACAAGCGCCTCGAGAATACGAGTCATGTCTGTCTTCTGACAATTACCTTGATCGCTGAGGGAGGGAGCCCCACGGCCCTGAACACTGTCATGTGTGCTGGGCTCTCGGACACAGAGAGCAGGGAGGGATGAGAAGTGACCTGGGGCCAGTCCTCCAGCCTCCGAGCCGGGTTCCCCCTCCTATAGCGCGAGTCCCACCTGAGTTGATGTGCGGGTTTAGTGCGCTAGCTTCTGTTTGGGACAGGATGTGCCGTGGACGCTTAGCACGTGGAAGCGGGTTCTGGAGTCAGTCCTGGCCCAGAGCTGCCGGGCTCCTTCGGGCTGAGCTCGTCACCCGGGCGGGACGGGGGACTCGCCCAAGTACACCCGCTGTGGTCACCAGACCCATTCACACGGCAGGGCAGGCAGAGCAGGGCTCGCAGAGGGAGGCCCCGCGCGCACCAGCGAGCCCCAGATGCAACCTCGGTGCCCGCTGCCCTGCCCCAAGCCGCCACCTCCAGCCCCGCGCGGAAGCACCCCGAGACCGTTCCAAGTACCAGCCCAGGAGCCAACAGGCAGCCGTGACTTCAAGCTAAAAATTATCAATCCAGAAACATTTAAAACGTTTTTGCTCTAATTATTATTCCCTAATGACTTAAGGGATAAATACAACAATCCCATTTTGACAGTTGGTGAAATTAAGTTTAGAAGAAACTCTGCACGATTATCATCCAAGCAGCATGGCAGGCGCATCAGGCCGGACAAGACTCGGGGCTCAGGCTGTGCTCCTCACCCGAGGCGGCCGAGACCGGACGGCCCCTCGCCGGCTCCAGCCCGGCCCGTTTCGATTCCGCTCCACGGCTGCTGACGCCCGGGCCTCGACCGCCGCCGGCGGGCTCCTGACTGCGTCCGGGGCATCTCCAGCAGCTGGTCAGGTGTGCGGAGAGGCGCCCCGCTCCGGAGACGCCGCTGAGGCTGAGCCGTGTGCGAGAGGACACGGGACACAGAGGCCAGCGGCCAGAGAGCTCTGGGGCGGAGGGGTGTCCGTCCCGTCCCGACACAGCCCAGGGAGAAACCCTCCCGCCGGCCTGGGCAGCAGTGCAGCCTCATGCAACACCGAGCACGGCGGTGGCCGCCCGCAGCCCCCGAGGCCCCCGACTGCCAGGCACAGGCCCGGCGCGGGTCACCCTTGGGGCCGTGCGCACTCGGGGGGACTGCACGTGAGGCCACCCGAAGGGCACGTCCTGGTGGAAAGTTCATATTTACAGCAGCGACCCTCAACCGCTCCGTCAGCCAGGTAAGGCACGCGCATGACCGAGATGACAGACACGCGCCTCGCTTGTCCTCAGGGCGCCCACACTGAGTCGCTCCACAGACGTGTGTGTCCCAGACGCCGCAGCACAAAGAGCTATGATGTCGGGGGGCCACAGGACGATGGAGAAACACAAGGCAAGGGGAGGGGGCCGGGGGCGCGCCGGGGGGCAGGGGCGACAGCAGAAAACATACCTGAGTGAAGGGAGGAGGCAAACCCCACACACGTGGGGGAAGAGCCTCTGGGCTGACACAGCAGGTGCAGAGGCCTCCGGTCTTCCTGCTTCTGCGTGGCCCCGACTCCGTTCTTCAGGGCGGCTTTGCATCCGGGTGAATGGGTGCTGAGTACACAGTGGCCCATCCACAGGGCAGAAGGCAACCCGAATCCGCCCGGGGCCACGGAGGGGGACCGCCTGACGGCCGCGAACACACAGCCTCTGCACGGCTGAAACGCTCCACGTGCGGCTGGCGACCACGTGCCCACCTGTCACGATGGGTTCAGTTCACGCCACGTAAAGAATACTTCAATTAATGTACTGATGTACCTTATGTATTTAGTGCTTTGGTAGGGTTGATTTTTATGCGAATTGGTTAGACCTGGTCGTGTGCCCCTGCCAAACCTTCCAGTGCTCCCATTTCGACGTGACCATGGAAAAGCCAACTGCCGCCGAGTCACTACATGTCGTGAGAATAAAAAAGTTCTAGTATTTATGAAGTTGTGCTTATGATTATTTTTATTCTTCTGTGACCTTCTCCAGGAACTGACTGCTTTTTTCTTCCTCCACCCACTTGGGTTTCCTGCGGTCTCTGGCAGCACCTCCCTGATCCGTTCACTTTTCCCCATGCAGACATCACTCTGGCATCTCACCCATCCTGCTCCGTCCAGAACTGATGCTGCCCGAGCCCTCATTTTGGGGCTTACTGGTTCATGTTATTGGAGCACATCCCTCCATCGCTTTTTGAGAACAAGTATGTGGGTCACACATTCTTTGAGACCCTACCTTTCTGAACAAGTCCTAATTTTACCTTTATTCTAGAGTAATTTAAGAATAGATGTGGGTTTGGACATGATGTTATGCAAAATTCAGTGATACTCCCCAATCCCATACCCATTAATGTGGATTTTCTCTCTGAGGCTGTAGCAAATATTCTAAAATATTTCCATACTTTGTCTTGGCATAGGTTTTCATTTCCCATTTATTAACTTAGGTACTTGTCGACTGCTTTCAATCTGAAAACTCATATCCTTCCCTTCTAGGAGACTTGTGTCCTCGCTCGGTATTTCCTCCCCCGTGCTAACCTGCACTCTTCCTGAACACGCACGCTGCCCACGGAAGCTGATCCTTTCATTTTACCTTTTCTCTTCTCTACAATAATTCTACTACAAAATATTTCGACTGACACATCCTCTCCCCAAAAAGCAATAATAAAACTTGACAAAACTGTCAAAAACCACCATCTTAGGGTTCTGGAGGTTGACCAGAAGCATACAGCATGACGCCCGGCCCCTTTGGATGACAGCCGCAGCAGGTGGGCAAAGCCCTGAAAACCAGCAGCCTTGGGGCAGACGGTGGAGGAGCCTCACGAGCCCATGTGGTCAGAACCAGCCTGTGCCTCGGAGACCAGCGGAGGGGAGGGGGGCTCAGCCACCTGAGGACGCGATGCGGCTCTCACACCTCCTGCTCTACAGGGAAATGCCTATTCCCAGCTCCTACCCAACCTTCTGGCAGGTTGTTTCCTTTTCTCGTTGATTTTCAGTTTTTATTTTGCTTTTCTTTTTGCTTGTTTTTAAAAATCATTCTAGATCTCAATCCAGCAGCCGAAGAACATTTTGGCAAAGGGTGAGAATAAATGCTTGAGGCTTTGCAAGCTTACAGTCTCTGCGCTTCTACTGCTCAGCAGTGGAGACAGTGTGTGAATGGGAGAGACTGTTTTCCAATAAAACTTTATTTGTAGACATTGAAATTTGAATTTCATATAATTTTCATGTGTCATAAAATAATATTCTTTTGAAAAATTACCCCCTAACCATTAAAAAATGTAAAAACCATTCTTAGAACTTTCTACTCCGGGAAGATGGTATAAATGGACCTTTTCCTATTCCTTCTGCTAAAAACCTGGATATTAAATATAAATCAAACATAAAACAACTATGACCTTGGGGTGGACCAAG